ACTCCTTGTTCACAACATACTGGCTCTGATGACTCCCAGTTTCAGTCAGATGGAAGCCTGTCATCCCCATTCTCCTCTGTCAGCCCTCTGAAACGCCCGTTTTCATTCAGCATCCCGCAAAATTTGATTGCTCTTTGAAGTTTAATACAGCTTTTCACCCTGCCCCATTTGAACCAATTATCTGTGGAATATGGTGCCCACCACTGTCTACTGGAAAACACACTGAGGGTGAAAATGCACACAAAGCAAGTGTTCCTCCTTCATTTTACTTGAAGAGGCAGGATCTAAAAATAGAGAATTTTCTTGCATCCTTCAGACAGTGTGCATGTCGATGGGATTATCACATTTTGATGCAGATTCCAGGAGTGGGAGGAGAGTGTCTGTGTGCTCTCATTTCTCTGTGTATGTTGTGATGTCTCTGTATCTACACAGGTGTGACCAGGATTTTATGTTGCTTTTATTTGGCAGGGTCACATGAAGTCACATGATGAAGTGGTCGAGATGGATCCTCAGAAATACTATAAACAAGAAGCATTTTGATATAAAACTATACAAATATACATATATTAGGATGTACGGTGACAGGCGATGTACTAGGGATGGGCAATGATTTGCAAATATTCATATAGTCATTACATTTAAAAAAATGTAATACTTCATGCGACTATGGTTGTGTCTTCACAAAGAGCCACTGTTTCCCCTTGCTTTTACCGGCACCTGGAAATAACGTGATAACCAGGTCAGTGTATCATTTTACTACAACGCCAAATACCAACAGCAGAAACGTGCAGAGACTACAGCCATCAAAAAGTTCTGTGTGGAACTTCTTTGAGAAAATAAACAAAAATGAGGTGCAGTTCAAACTCTCCCAGTTTAGGTTAGCATGTCATAAATCATCAACTGTGCACAGCCATGTGAAGGTGAGGCCTCCAGCAGAAAGTGGGGCTCAGGCTGCAGATCAACAGTCAGTGGCTTTGTCACCTGAACAAGGAAGTTTGATGATCGACATGCAGAGCAAACAACGGCCCTCACCACAAAGATGGTAGCAAAGGACACGCTACTAGCTAAGTCGAGGGGGAGGGTTTTCAAAGTTTGATGGCATTTGTTCAGCCGGAGTATACGGTACTGTCAAGAGAAATGGCACGATGGGATAAACTGTATGATGATAATGCATGTGAGCTGTGCAGTTGTTTGACAAGTGATGAAAAGGTGTCTCTGACCTTGACCACGGATGCATGGACACTAGTTCCCAGAAAATTTCAAATAGTATTTTAGTTTGAATTGCCCATCTCTAATATGTACAATAAATAATATAATGTATGAGAACGTTTTTAGTTCACTGTGTCTTCAAAGGTGTCCTGTTTGTATTTTTTCCACTGCTTGTGAAGAAAAAAGGTCAAAACAAACATGTAAACCATTTGGTTTGAATCACAAACTGCACAGTGAGAGAACAAAACCACAAGCATCAAGCTCTCACTATGTAACAGTTACACTTTGGATTCTCAGTCCTCAGGAGACAGCAACACACATTTAACATCAAGCCCGTCTCTGGTCATTTTCATTCATTCTAGATAATCTATGATCAAATGAAAAGATTCTCGCCATCACCAACAGTGACTACACACCCACACACAGTGTATCAGCCTGGACGACTCTTCTCTCCCAGCTGCGGCTGGTGGTACGGACATATATCAGAGACTTACCACGCATTTTGGTCGAGTTGTCAAGCCTGTTTGTCGCCTGATTGAGTCAATGGTTCAGGTGGAGTCCCTTCTGGGGGGTGAACCTACTGCCGCGTCTGTTATTCATGTGTGATGTTGAGTTGGCATTTTGTACATGGATTGTAAATGTGTGCCGGCTGAAACATGGAAGTGTTCGATTAAAGTGTTCTGACGTGAGCGTGTTGAAGCAAATAGAAGCATGAACAAAGATTAACAGTGACAATGATTGTTTGTGTGTGTGTGTGTAAACGTACTCGCTCTTGATGAAATGAAAGTTGTTGATGGTCTCGATGACATCCTTGAAGAGGATCTTGGAGGTCAGGGTGTAGCCATGGTGGACAATGGGTTCACCGTCCTGTCCGTCCCAGCAGTCCACTGTGGACAGGAGAAAAGAAGAAGGGGAAACAGTTATTTAATCGAATGGATTCTGTAGACAGTAAGTAGCAATGCTGCGTTTTAACCTGGTTCCAGTGCAAAGCAATCAGTGACCACATGCTGTGCTATTACATCCGCTTTATTTACTGTCTCTGTCTGAAACTGTCTCACATCTGTCTTTATGCCACAGAAACGTGTAATTTTCATCACAACAGCTTTAAAAATTTGTGGCAACAACAAAAGCAAACCAAGTTTGACAGCTGTGGATATCCTTCACTAAAACTAATGCTAAGTTAGTACCTTTTAGGTCAACACTGTTGTTCAAAACTATTGAAAACACACCAGTCATCAATCTGTTTAACTTTTTTTTAAATTTAAGTTTAGCCACACAACATATTACCAGTTTTGTTTGGGCTGATACATTTTCCATCTAATATCTTTTTAAGATCAATTCTTTACTAAAAAGATTTGTCTAAAAGTCTTAGTATTTGTCAAGATTAATTTACATGTATTTTTTCATCAGTAGTGTTTGAATTTTTTGATCCCAATGCAATCTTTTTCCTCTAATCTTACATTAAATGTCCCTTCTGAGTCTCCTGTACAAAGTTCCATTTCCTTATTTCACACCCTTTCCGTTTCCCTTGCTAATTTTTATGCGTTTATCTTTGTCTTTGCTGTTGTGTGCCAGCAGTGAAGTATGACCTGAACGACATGAGGAGAAACAGCATGCTGAACACAATGAACAATGCAGCAACAGCCTTGGTGTTCTTCATAGTCCTCATCAACATCTTCATCATAGCGCTCAGCTTTGAGAGACATGTTGTCAGGTAGGCCATTACAGAACATGCACCAGTACACAACAGGCTCTTATACTCTTGTGACCCTGTTCTTCTTTTTATTCCCAGCTCGTACGGTATGTGATGGCAGTCCCAGAGCCAGAGTTCTCCCATCAACACACTGACCCTGGTGGCATTTAAACCAGTCTACAGATCAAAATAAGTAATCTACTGTTTCACTTGATATCTCAGAACCTTGAACTCTAAAGTGACTGCTGCCTTTTTTAACTTTTTTTTATGAGCTCTCTACCTATCAAGTAGCCTAAAACCTCATCCTTCACAGAGTATCAGAGCTGTTAAATTCAGCTGGACCAAACCAGAACCACCACAGACTTCAGTCTGAATACATTCGCACTGCCTTATTTTCTTCTGAAACAGATACCAAGACTCTACTGCAGTATACTGACCCCTGGCCTTTGCAGTGCTGAGATCATCTGTAAATAAATGTACATATTATATCACCAAACCACTTAAAGTGCCCATGGCATGCTCATTTTCAGCCATTTAATGTTTATTCTTGGCTACCTCTAGATTAGCTTGGCACCCCTCATAATCCAGAAAGTTTGTAATTGTTTCAGAATTAGAGAGCCAGAAAGCCTCTTCCTTAAAACGAGAGGATAGTTCGTAAACAACGCACAATCCCTGTTGCTGGTGTTGTGTAGCAAGTGGACAGCACAAGGAACTGCAATGGCAGTAATTAATTTAAATTTCTCCTCCATAGACAGGTAAACAACAGTATATGAACCGATGAAAAGCGATGTGTAATGCTCTAAACAACGCGGGTAATTGAGAAACCCCATATTTTAACTGGCACAATGCAGACATAGTAACTTCTCCAGCCTTACAACTCTAACGTTACAGAAACAAGGCATTAACAGACATGTAATGTGTTTTTGAAAACTTACCATTAAGTCCCACTGAGTAGTGGGAACATTACTTCATTTCAAGTAGCTCCAAGGCTGGTAAATCCAACCTGTGGTCACTGCATCTTCCCCCACTTGACCACATACAGTCCTATGAACTGAATGACATGACATGAACTCCAAGAAGTAGTGTAGCATCAACAATAACAGCATGGACTGTTAATCTGCTCATTAACAAGCAACACATCACATGCAGCAGACACACTGACCTCAAGCAGTCAAAACAAACAAGTACTGTGCTCTGGGGGAATCCAGCCTTGATGAGCCAATCAGTCACTGCAGCAGGGGTTTCACTGGCCAGCTGCTTGTTGATTAGACCCGGTCAGGTAAAACAGCGAGTCCCTGTACAGGAACATTCCCGGACGTGCAGTAACCTCAGGCCCTGTATTTTTCTCCACATCCTCTGGCCACAATGGAGCAGGAGGTAAAATATATCCACAAAACTGGGCGCAGATGAAAATTCCACTTCTACAATGGCACTGATGGATGTCTTTTTTTTTTTTAAGCATAAGCTTTATTGAAAATACAGAGAACAAGCAAGGCAATATAACACTTTACCATTATGGTGGGGGCACCAGTGGATGTCAGGCAAGCTCACCTGAACCGGCAATGGCCTGGATTTAATGCCCATTCAAGGAAATCCTTAAACCATCATGCAATATGTTATTTTGTTAGAAAAAGGTCTCGCTAGCGAGTTTGCCAAACTTGTATAAACTGAGTTAGGCATAGAAATACTAGAACATGTGTACACCTCATTTTTTGAGCTTTAGGTTACATCTAAGATAATTCACCGTTGTAACATTATAGATGTCAAAAAACAAGGAAAAGCATGCCACGGGACCTTTAAAGCTTACGCTTATGTTAATATCGTTGCATTTTTTTAGGAATTCACTCATCTCCAGTGTCATGATTTACAGCAAATCTAAACACTGCTGCAGTCTCTGAGTAGCTGGAACCTGATATCATTTATTTATTAAACATATACAAAGTCTTTGGTTTGAGATTAGAAATATGAATACCTCAGTTCACAAGACTGCTGTGCTACAAGAAATCATCATGTACTGTATATCTCACAAATAACGTCAGAGAAAAGCTGCGTAACAGAAATCAGTCACATAAAACTGCATGACTGGAAAGCAAAGAAATACAAGGGATAGTGTTATTCTTTATTTTCTTATTGTCAACAAATCCCAAGACCAAATCCACGACCAGATTAACCATGTGCTTGTCTGTCTTACCTTCTGACTGTGGCTCTGCCCAAAGCCCATTAGTTCCTACCGAAGACAGAAATCCTTCATGGCTCAGTATAACAGCCGGGTATACTGGTTTCAGCTTCAATTACTTGAACAAGAGGAAATAGTGCATTTGTTGGGGGACTATTTTCAGTGGCGGAATAATCCACATTTGGTGCTGTACCTAGTGTCAGTGTAATAAATTAGTGTGTGTGTTTGTGGTAATGAAGCAACATGTCACCCAGTGCAACAATGTCACTCAATTATGTGTGTGTGAGCTCTATGGCACAGAAGAATAAGATAAACTGTGTGTCTGGTCATGATCATTTCACGGGATTTGATGACTACGAAATATAAAATATCTGCAGCCTTTAAAAGGTCATGGAATGTAATATTCTTACTATTTCTAGGGTTCACAGTGGGGGACACACACCGTGTACTGGAATGAGGAAAAAAAACCCAGTCATCTCCACTAAGACATTGATGGAGAAAAAGGGCAAATGGAAAACAAATTCTGGTGCTGTTACAACAGATCAGATCATTGAACCACAGAAGAGCTTGCTTCACTGTTCATCATGCAGCAGTAGGCGTAGTAGATGACAGCTGCTACCACTGCTAACAGCAGCAGCAGCCGAATCACCTTCCACATGCTGCCTCCAGACTTCCTGACCGGCTCCCTGGATCGCACTGCGCTGTGATTGGCCATTCTGCTAGTCATCTGGACTGGGGGCCTGAAGCACAGAAAGCAACAGGTGATTTAGACCTGGTGATGGGCCCATGTGCCCCACACACAACTAGTTTATACTATGAAACTCACTCTGTATCTTGGTCCAGCTCCTCGTCTTCATCTGGCTCAATGAACCCTCTACGCTTCACCCTTGAAGGGAGGAACACTGCATGTAAATTTCAATCTAGCACTGTTCTCAAAAGTATTTACACATATTAACCAGCACTACTGTCAAGTAATAACGGGACTAATTTGCAGTATATTCCCAGAGTTGGAATGTTAAGGTGTAATGTTACGGTGGCATTTTACTTTAGTATTTTCATTTTATGCTATTGTACACTTCTTGTCCACTACATTTCAGAAGGAAATTTTGTTCAGCCATTTGACACGTGCATAGTTACTGGTTATTTAGCAGAAGGTAAAAAAAAAAAAATTAATTGCTAGGTCAATGACTCTTGTGTGAAATACAAAAATCAAAGTTGACATTTTTGATTCTATGCTAGCAGTGTGATTCTAGGAGATGTCAGTTCACTGGTCCACCACCTCACAGACATGAGGCCACTGACCTTCGATCACTGAAATTAGTTCATCCTTGAGCTTCAGTGGATGTATGGGCAAAATTAGAAGAGATTCCCTCAAGGTATTTCTGAGATATAGTGTTCACAAGAATGGGCTGAAAGGATGGATGTAATGCCTCCGGCTACAGCTAATAGGGGTGCAAAGGTCAATCTAGTGAGTATCAGGGGCTGCTTTAGTCGGAACTGGACTGTAGCTGCTGTGAGCCTTTAAAATTTAGGAAAAATTAGAAGAAGGGAGCAGCAGAAAAGTCATGTGAAAAATAAACGGGTTGTATTGCTGCTGCACTTTCATCTTGTTTTTCCTCTCACTTGCTGTCTATTTCTGTTTTAGTCTCTCTCCCTCTGTGTGTGGCTGATAAAACAGTGCTTTCCCCAGACAATACATCTCAGTCACAGCTTTCTCTGCTGCAGTGATCTATCAGATATTGTAAATATTTGTATAAACTTCCACTGCTTCCTCCTTTTTTTTTTTTTTACACCTAAAAAAGTACATTGATCAAACATAATATTTAGTTTCAATCTACAATCTATTTTTTAATTAATTGGTTTAAATTTAGAACAGGTCAAAGTATTCCTCTATTTTTGCTGACGACACTTCTGTACTTTTACTTTACTTCTACATGCAGGACTTTTACTTGTAATGCAACACGCAACACACTGCTGCCTGCCAAGCTGCGGTCCATTAAGTGTTTACACTGTGGCAGTACTACTTTTATGTAAGTAAACTGTAAGTAAATTGTATTTTTCCATAAATATACAGTAACCACAGCGGTTGTTTTCTGCATCTGCACTGCACTGAAGAGTTCTGGTGGCCCAACACTGTACTGGCACACCATGTTGGTTTGTCCTTTCATTTGCCACCCGTTTGTAGTTTATATGTCTTGTGTTTTTTCTGTGTGTGTGTACTCACATGTCCGCCCGACTGTCATGCCGAACCTATGAAAGTGAAAGCAGGATAATTTGTGAGATTAGTGACAGTCACGGTGCAGATAAGCTTGGCACAAACGCAGAGCAATAAGCAGAAAATCAGGACTCACCGGATTGCGGTATGTGATGTAGGTAACTTCCTCCTCTGTTAAAAAAAAAAAAAAAAGAAAGAAAAAAGAAAAATGCACATATATATAAAATACAAATATAGTCAAGATTACAAATGTGTAAAAACAATTTTCTCTGCGAGGTTCTTTAAAGTGTATTTACAGACTGTAAATACACGTGCACAGATCGCCTGACACGGATCATGTTATACTCACGCGCAAATTTTGAGAGGATTTTTTTCACTCTAAGATCTACAAATATATGGTGTGTTTAATGACAGGTGGAAAACTCTGACTTTTGGCTTTTCAGGGTTTTTTTTCCCAGAGATAAAATTGCTTGTCACCTCTTCATCGGACTTTAATTAAATAGTATTTTAATGTGAAATATTCCAGTGTCACGTGGCTTCATCTCCATTTTATTCAGAACATGCCTGTATCGTAGCCCATTGTGAATATCATTTTACCATCGGTATTTTAGCCTATGTGATGCCAATCCACAATTATAGCCTTGGTCCTCTGTTCACCTTAGTGTAGCCTATGTGGTAACAGCGCTGCTAGCTTAGTAACCTACTAGCTGCCAGCATTACCTTTTAATTTATCTAGCAGGTTACTAAGCTTGCTGTGCTGTTACCACATATCCTAAGATGAACAGAGGACCCAACTTGTGGGCTGGAATTATCTATGATTTGATTGTATTCTTTCAAACATGTAACGACAGTCAATATGTCAACACACATAATTCCACACATATCCACAAATACATTATCAATTTGCTTATACCTAGTACATGCTTGAACGGAGTAGGAAGAAGTTAGACTTATCTAGTCCTACCCC